CTCTGGAACTCACCATGTAGCTAGGCTGGTTGTCCAGTGAGCCTTAAGGAGCCTCTTATTTTTATCTCTCCTGCTCTGGGGTTGTAAGCACACACTACCACTTCGATATGTGGGTTTAGGAATGAAACATGGATCCTCATGTTCATAAGGCAGGTGCATTATCAACTGAAATAAGTCTCCAGCCCCAAGGCAGGGACTTCCTCTTGTTATTTTTTATTGTGGAAAACTATATATAACATAAAAGTTACTGTTTTAGACATTTTTAAACCATATAGTTTGGTGGCAACAAGTTATTTTCACATTTGTGTACCTGTCCATCTCTAGACACTTTCATTTTGCCAAACTGAAACTGTATGCATTAAACAATAATTCTTCACTCATCCCTTCTCACAGCCTGTCAACCTCTGCTTTACCTTGACTCTTCTTTACACAGTTTATATCTGTGGACTCATAAACTTGTCCTGCTGGGCGGTGGTAGCACACGCCTTTAATCCCAGTACTCAGGAGGCAGAGGCAGGCATATCTTTGTGAGTTCGAGGCCAGCCTGGTCTACAGAGCAAGATCCAGGAAAGGTGCAAAGCTACACAGAGAAAACCTGTCTCGAAAAAAAAAAAAAAAGAGAGAGAGAGAGAAAAGAAACTTGTCCTTTTATGATTAGTTGGCTTTTTCACTTGGCATAGGGTGCTCAAGGGTCATCTATCTTGAAGCATGGGTCAGCATTCCCTTCCTTTTTAAGGCTGAGTGTCTTGTCATAAGTATGTGCTGCATTTTGTCCATCTGTTTACACCCAATGTTGATGTTGTCTCCACCTTTGGGCTATTGTAAATATTACTTTTTGTGTCATGGGCAAACATCTGCCAAGCCCCTGCTTTTTCAGCTCTTTGGGGAATGTAACCAGGAGTGAAGTGACTACATCATGGAATTCTGTGTATCACTGACACTTTTTTTAAAAGCTATAATAAATATGTTCAAGAACATAGGGGGAAAAGAACATAGGTGTAAATTTTCCATAGAGATTTGAAAACTGTAAAAAAATAAGATCAAAAACAAAGTTTCTAATGGAAATCTTAAAAACATTATAAACATAAAATAAATTATCAATCAGCAAGCATTCATGCCACATGGTATATCTTCATATTCAATTTGCTAATCATTTTTAGGATCTTGAATATCAGACAAGACACTGTATATATTAGTACCAAACAACATAAGCAATACTGCACTTAGTTGATTATATAATTACAGGAGTGATAATAATTCATATACTCTTAGGATAAATCATCATGTTTTATAAATACTAATTTCAAGATACTAAGGCAATATTATTAGCTTGCCAATTGCCAGGTACTTGCTAGGTGCTTTGTATACACTAATTCCTGTTGTCATAGCAACATCCTTATTGTGGAGGGACTGTAATTCTTTCCACTCTATTGGTGAGTCAACCAAAGCCAAGCTGAATACAACTTGTGCAATTTCCTCTTCGCTTGCAGAGTCTGATCTTTGCTGTTATTGTTTTTTTTTTAAAGATACACTTTTAAAAGTAAATAGATTGTAATTTTTGACCAGGTGGTTGGATTTCATTCTTAAAAATTAAGTGGAAATTTGAGAAATCAAGTGTCTCAGCAAGATCTCCTCGGGTGCTTGCCATGTCTTACAATGTGACCTTTTCATTTTTTTTTTTTTCCACTGCTCCTTCAGGGTGATAAGGACACTACTGGATATATTTTGGCATGGCTTGGTTATGCATATCTGACACATGAAAAAACAGCACCACGGTGAACAGACTGTCCTGTCTTTCTCCTTAAAGCCTAAATTGCTCAGGGCACTAGATGCACGTCGAGGGTTTAAACTTGACACTCTCAACTTCCTCCGCTCCCGTTTGTGGCCCTCGCTCTCAGGATGCTGACATGTTACCTTCGCTGCCCCCTGTCCTCACTCCTTCCCCCGCCCTACCACCTGTCTTCAGTGCTTAATCTTTTCCCTCCACCCTTCTCAGAATGCTTTTGATGGCAACCATCTCCAGGGATGGGGCATTCCTTGGGGAAATCCATTTTCTCTCAGCCTTGGCAGGGAAAACCATACATTGGTTACTAGAACAAAGGGGGCATTCATCTGACCTTAGGATTCTCAATATTTTTGCCTTCAGCTCTCTTTATTTCAACCTCTTTGTTCACCCAGGTTATACTCCTAAGTGACCCATCTCCTATTTTTATCTTATCTTGGCTCTTCTGTCTGTGTGTGTGTGTGTGTGTGTGTGTGTGTGTATGTGTCTGTCTGTCTGTCTGTCTCTCTCTCTCTGTGTCTCTCACTCTCCTCTGTTTGTCTCTGAAAACAAGCCACTTGTTTCATACAAACAATTAAAGTCAACAGGGAACAGCTTTTTGTGTTTTTTGACAGTCACATTATTACGGCTTCCTTAATTATTTTTTTGTGCACTATCCAACTTACTGTTTGCAAAGCCTGAGGCTACAGGAGATAAAGGAAAAACAACCCAGTTCCAGCTCAAAGCGGACAGCTGCAGCTGTTCTGTATTTTATAAGTTTCCTTCCTAGCCTCATAAGAGTACCCGGTAAGCGAGGAGACGCATCCCGTGTAGACGCTGTCCTCTCCTGGGCAGTGCACCAAGAAGAAAACAAAATGCTTGACTCTGCAGGAAAATGATGGTTCAGCAAAATTAGCTATTTCTGTTGCATTAAATAAATAAAAAATCTACTAACTTTCCAAAAGAAACTGTAAAAGTAGGAGCTTCAATCCTTGGAAAACACATTTTAGTACCTTCATGTGCCCTCACACTCTTATGACCATTCCAGATTATAGGGAGGAAGGGAAAAAAAAACACTCACCAAAACCATGAAGGGACTTCCCAGACAGAAATAAACTGCCCCTATGGGAAATAAAAATCTTCAAAGTGTCCTTTTCATTGAACTTGTTTCTCTTCCTTCAACAAATGGACACATCAGACATAAAACTTAATTGAGAGGAACTGAAGTCAGGGTCTGGCTTACCTGAATAGGACAGGTTACAGCATTCCATCATGGCAACACCAGGGTGCTAACAAGTCACTGACTACCTTCTATTGCATGATATGGAACTTGTAATCACCACTTACTACCTAGACCACCATTTATTTAGGATTTCAACAGCTTCCCGTGACCCTCTGCTGTGCCGGTCTACTTTCCCGGTCCTTTTTCTGTGTTTGCTTTAACTTAAGAGTCAGTATACATTTTGACAATTCTTTGACAGCAAAGGGAAAGCCACCAGGAGTGTATCTGTTTATTGAGGACTGACAGCTTTATGGCCAACATAAAAATAATCTAATGTTTATTGGGGCAAATGTTTGGACTGAGGATTAGGCAGAACTACTGAACAGAACAAACCTTTTCAGACCATTCAGACTTTGCAAATAAGGTTTGTGATCTACTACATCAAAAACGCTTTGTGCTGATTTCCCTAATTCTCTTTCCTTCGTCCATCCCACCACTTTTCTCTTCTACTGTGCTCCAGGAATTATGTTACAAAAGGGCTTTTGACTCAAATAAATTGTAAGGGGAAAAAAGAGAGAGATTCGACTCTTCTGAGACTCACTGTCTGAGCCTGCTTGGTCCAGGCACTCCTTCCAGAGATCAGTGAAGCCAAGGGTAGCAACCTGGCTCATCAGCGCTTCCCTGTGCTGCTTTAGGTCACCTGTGGGCATTAAGAGCCTTGAGCTTCTTGTCCTTGTTTCGGTTTGTCTTTTTTTATGTTGTATTCATTGTTGGGAGTAGAAAGCATAATTGTTTGAAGCTGTTCTAAAATTTGTTTAGAGCTCTTGAAGAGTATGAATCCTGTGTTCTCTTCAGCCAAGTATGAATACTAGAGTGTTGTTTTAATTTTAATGAGCCATTTGAGAGATGAGAGGCTTTGCTGTTTTTCTGCAGGTGGAAAGCTTTCTATCAGAAAATGATCAATTAGATTAAAAATTAATTAATATATTATTGTATTGGTGATGCTTACCCTCATTTTAATTGTGGTAATTACCACTAAGCTCTCTTTCCTTAATCTTTCTTATAAATCAATGAATATATATATATATATTTATCAAATACATCCTAGCAAGCAAGATTCAGACCAGCGATTACCTCTCCCTTTGTCAGACTCCCTCTCTCAACCCCTCTCTGGATGCTGTTCACCGTCAAGTAAAATACGGGAGAAACAAGTTAGACAAACAAGGGTCACAGGGAACGACCGTGGAGCCAGCAATGGAAAGCAGGTTTCCCAGCAGAGCCCACAACCATGTGGCTGCTGAAAGGGCCATGACGTCTTCCTGTCTACCCTGGCAAAGCGGAGACATGAGCGTTCAGGACTCGGGAACTTCAGTTTCCCATTGTGTCACTGGAGTTAAGCATCCCCATGGCTATAGGTAGGTTGCTGTTTGTCTACATGGGACCAAACCGAGGAGAATCTAAATATGTTAGGAACTTGTAACAGCTGTATCGTACCTAGTGTTTCCATGATGTTTCGTACCAGCTACCTAAAGCAAAGAAGCTCTTCCCTGCCAGGGACTAGTGAGCAGCTACTCAAGGGTCAGGCCTCTATCTCTCCTTGTTGTCCTTGGAATGTGATAGAAGGTTTGAATTATACAACGAATTTGACAACTATCTGTTAAATTAAAATTTATTATAATACTAATGCTGCTTAACTCTAGATTTGGTCCTTAAAAAGAAAGAAAGAAAGAAAGAAAGAAAGAAAGAAAGAAAGAAAGAAAGAAAGAAAGAAAGGAAGGAAGGAAGGAAGGAAGGAAGGAAGGAAGGAAGGAAGGAAGGAAGGAAGGAAGAAAGAAAATCACATATTATGTTTTAATTTACTAAACTAGAACCAGTGATACATTCTTTAGTAGATGAAACTTATCCTTGAATCCTTTTCTGCATCATTTTTTGTAGTGATGACTGCTACATTTGAAAGTATTGTAGGCCTTGACATGAAGGGACTGCTAGTTAATTAAAGAGTACACAGAATTCCCATTTTGTTCCCGTAACACCAGTTTATTGATTCTTGGAAGCTAGTGGCCTTGGAAGCTTGTGGACCCACTGGTTTTCATTCTGCTGCATGTCTCTTCATAAATGAGGGACTGTATCTTGTCTCTCATGCACACGTCGTGTTTACTGCGCTCCCCGCGACTAGAACGCTGTGAACGTTTAGAGCGCACATGCGCAGCGTCAGCAGAATTCCGAACCCTCCCTGCCCCCAGCTCCTCTGTGTGAAATGTGTGCTGCTTTCAGACACAGCTCAAGGCACTGTCGTGGTTCTCAGTTCCCCTCTGGGAGTTTGATTCCAAGGTCCTCCTTTGGGTTGGTCACAGGTGACAGGTGACAGTCAGCCAGGCCAACTGTCAGGTCCTGCCAGTCATCCTGACAACAAGGACTGATAGTCTTCAGAAAGGATGTGAATGATACACGTGGTCGCTGCCCAGCTCCACAGTCCACCTCAGGCCCACACTGGCCCCAGTTTTAGACATACATTTCCTCAGTTTGGAGCTCCTGTGTTTAGAAATCTTGGAGGTTTCATGGAACTTGTTATATACCCATCTTGTCTTTAAAACCAAACTTGTAGGATGTCCAGGCCTTTGTTAGATTCCTCTGGACAGTAAGGCTTGTCTCACAGACATGCAACCCTCTCTGCTCACAAAGATGGGTTGAAGTTGAACCTGGTAACATAAGAAGACCGTGTCCTGAGCAACGTTCTACTCAAATTAGGTTGCTTTACTTATAATTTAAAACTGACTTATGTGGGTCACTGTGTTTAGAACCCCTGATCTCAGGAACAAGCTTGAAATTATGTTAAAGCCAAGTACCACTCCTCAGACTTAAAAGTTATATAATGATTCTGTTTTTAAATTATTTTTTTCAAATCCCCATTTTAAAAAGGCAGTTAAAAATGTTTTAAAACTACATCTCTAAGGTTACGGTAGTAGCTGTAGTCTTATTAGAATGAACTAGAAATTTTCTCCTTTCTCTGTCATTGACAGAGTCAGAACAAATGAGATTTTCACCAGGATTCCCCAGTGTCCCCAAATAATAAAAGCACAGTGTATGATGAAAATAAATGAAGTCAATCCATAATAGCCCATTTTGAAACATAATTTTTATATTGTTGATTTTTAAGCCAATTTCACATGTGTACTGAATGACTAACATAGCAAACTTTGAATTTTAATTTTTATTCCTTAGACAAGACTCATATTTTTCTAGGATCTTTATAACACTGTCATTGAACAGCTCTACAACTAAATTTTTGATTCATTACATAATTATATTTTCCAACCTTGTTTTAATCTGGGGAAGGCATATGACATAATAGGGTTGGATGCTCATTAAAAGTCTCGTGGCATTTCATTTATTAAGCTTTATTATAAAATAAGGATTAATTTTTTTCTCTTTTGTTGTTTTAAGGAAATACACCCTTGCAGAGAGCTGAAAAAGTGAACTCACTAACTAGGGAATGCTTTCTTACTCATTTCTACTCCCTTGTTAATGTTTCATGCACATCCTTGACTGTATGTGGTTATTGTCTACATCGCATTTTACAGACTTTACACACACACACACACACACACACACACACACACACACACACACTTGCCTTAATGTTTACTGATTCAGGACTTCACCCCTGCCTGTTAACTATTTCCTTTCCTTGGAGTTTATATCGTTTTCTATTTTCAAGTCTGTATCATTTTCATAGCTCAATAAGTTAATTATGTTTTATGAACTTTTTTCATTTATGCTTCTTGCCAAATGTTTTTCTTCTACTTCTTTACTGATCTTTACAACGAACGTTTTGACTCTGGGTCTCTTAAAGGTATGTATGAGTAGATGAAATTCTACTGTATACATAGAACCAAGCCAAAACTTGCCATTTGAAAGATAAAGGCAGAAGAGAATAAAGGCCATGTGTCACTACAGAGGACAAAACTGACTGCAGCTATTTTCCCCTTGCTTGGTGTTTATAGTTGTTTCCATGGAAACCGCACGTGGATTTCTGAGGATTGAATTTGACCCTGGGGATGTACACAAGTAACTTTAGAACATTGGCTCCATTAACGTGGGGGCTCATCATCCACTTAGGCTTGTCTTCCTTGACTCCTAAGTGCAAACAGCGCACAATGTACGGGACTATCGTGTTGTTCCTGTTGGAGAGCTGGTGGTGTTTGGGGGAGGGGCGCGTGCTGTAAGTGAAGGATCATGGGAAGCTTCCATTCCTCACTGAGGCAGAGGCGCAGAAGAGTGTTGAGCTTCCTAATCCATAATTCCTTACTGTTCAGCTATGTGAACCCTCCGCTTATCCTGTTCAGGTTTTCTGCTTAGTGACTACATTGCCATAAACGAAAGAGGCTTTGTCTCTGTGTTCTTCTCCCTCCCGTCTACATCCTACCTCTATTTTCTTTTACCAAGTAGATGACGTCGAGAGTTCCGATCCATCGGGAATCTGTTGCATGCACCTTTACGTGCTATACCATCTCACTGCGCCAAGTTGATGTTTTTGTTTTCCTTGGATTAGCAGGACAGAAGTAAGAGCACTGTAAGTTGCCGTTTCAGAAGGTGAGGGGCCTAGAGGAAAGCAAGCCTCGGCAAAAAAGAAAAGAAAAAAAAAGCATTTTAGTGAAGGAAAAAGAAAATACAGAAGAACAACAGTGAGTGGTTTGAACTCATGAGTTAAACTAGAGTTTAAAGACAAAAATTCACAGAAGAAATGTAGCAATATAGAAGTTTCCAATGCATCTATGTTCTCACTTCATCCCTCCAATTCTAGAACGTCCAGGGACCTGCTAGCTGGGTAGCGTTCTATGTGCCCATCACTTCCGACAGTTTGGACATTTCACGGTTTATTAGCAAATTGACTGGTTACAAACCGGTTTTTCTATTATTAATAGAAGGCCAACAGTTTGATGTGGGGAGAGGTGTACTGCAGCTCCTGGTAGCGGGTTTTGAGTTCCCGTGTGGTCTGCCTCCCCTTAACAGGAAACAATGGGGACTGGGTATGTAGAATAAGATTCTCAACCGTCAGAAAATACTGCTAGAAACATAGATATTTTTACAGACCTCTCAAAATCTCTTCAACGGGATCATGTGTGGGTGGAGACCATATACGCAACTTCCTTTCCTTACATGTCTCTCTCCTAAGTGTAGAATGTTACACTACCCAACCCTCCTTAGGACTAGAATGCTACTGGCATAATTCTAAGCCCTTTAGTCATATGCTTTTTAGGGGGTGGTTGTTGGCCAGTTATACCAAAGAATGTGTATATATATTGAGAATACTTATCTAGTTACATTAAAAGATTTTTATTCTGCTGCTAAAAAAAAAAGAAAAAGATGAAATGTAATTGCTTTGGGGGCTTTTTATTAAAGCATGGCATAAGACAGGACTGTGCAGTTCAGTGAGTTTTCATAAGCTCAAGATCGTCAATGAGCACTCAGACCAAGACAGACTGCAGCTCCCACAGGCCTCTGGGGCTGCTTCCAGTCGCTTCTCTGCCCTACCCCCTCTGAAGGTAAGGGCCATCCCATGTTGACTTTCATTTCAAATATGCCCCAGTTTTCTGGCCAGGTTTATTGGCCGGTGTTTTGTGGGAGAGCAAAGGGAGGTGGCTAATCCCTTGTAGCTGGCTTCTTTGCGTTGTGGGATTTTCCTAGCTGTTAATTATTAACTTTTCTTCAAAATAAAACTTCCATTGTGTGGGGAGAAAAGCTCCATGAGCACAGTGCATGTGATATAAATCACTTTTATGTCTGTGAAACAGCTGAGTTTACATTTTTATTACATTGTTTGAAAAAGTATCTTTTCATCTGGAAAGAATCAGTTTAAAATGTGATTGTCAACACACACACACACACACACACACACACACACACACACACACACACACAGAGAGAGAGAGAGTTTTCTGTTTAAAATGGCTGCCAGTCAAGCTGAGAACTATTATTAAGCCAGATTTCTGTTCATAGATAACAGTAACTAAAACTTCAATTTTTTCACTGAGATTTACCAAAGATTTCCTTTGTTTTAAAAGCAGACAAGGTGGGGGTTTTTGTTTGTTCGTTTGCTTAGATGGAGAAAGAAAATAACTGATGGGTGAGGTTATTATTGTAAAGGGCAGGGTGCTTCCCTGAGAAAAGCGATGTAGCTGTATGAAATAAAGCTTAAAGTAATATCTATCTCTATGAAGTGTTGTCTAAATTGAATAATGTGCTTTTAAAGGGATGCTATTTGTTTCCTAATTGGCAGCTGCTGCATAATTTTTCTATAAAATGTTTTTGTATTTAATTCTGAGAAAAAATAAATCCCTCTATAAATATACTATAGTTCCATTGCATTACCCAATCTATTATAGGTGTAAATAAGTTTGAAAGCCTGTACCCTTGGCTATGCTCACTAATTACTTGCGATTTACTTTGAATGATAAAATAGAAAAGGGAAGGATAGATCTTCAGATGTTAGGTTTTGCTGCATTGAAGTTGAAATTTTACTAGTAAATGAAAATTGCTATGTGCATGAGTGCACTGGACGATATCTAAGAGACTGACTACACACCCCTTTGTGCACACAGATGCCACAACATGGACAGTTTTACACTAGTTCAACCCTTCCTGTTTGCAGATTTGGTTTTTGAGACTCAGGGCAATCATCAATACACGAGCATCTGGACATTTTAAACCAGATTTTGAAGATCTGATTCTTCCATGGATTTTTTTCTTAAACAGAGAAATAATTTAGGCTCAATATTGTCATAAGCTTTTTGGAGAACAAAAGTTCTCTGCCATCCATAACTGAGTAAATGATAAAAATGATTGGACTATGGGCAGAACAGAAAGCATTTTGACTGTCCTAAATGGGTTTAGACTGGAAAGAACTCTGTGCATCTGATGTTAGATCCATGACTATTCCTACGTGAGAAAGCAGAGTAAACTCACCATTCCATGTGTGGCCTGGCAATAGCAGGTGTGTCAACACTTGGAAGGCCAAAGGAAGGATGTGGGAACTTACAGACTTAAGTGGGACATGAGGCATTCATCCTCAAAACTAGGATTTAAGTTATTGAAGTCTTCGTACAGATTTGAGCTCTCGATGGTGTTGACTTATTTGGTTTGGATATCTCCACGGAGCTGTAATAACTGCTATTCTGTTTATCACTGAAAATGGACTTGTACAGGAAGGTGTCACCACACTTCAGAAAAGAGCTGCAGCCAAAGCATTTCTATTTATCAGTTGTTCCTTTAGCTGGAGTACAACCCTTGACTACATCTCAATTCGTTCGCTAAGTGGGAGCAGACGGATTCTGTATAGACACAGCTTTTTTCCCCTGCTAATCTTTTTGTTTTGTATATTTTTCTTAAGTATTTTCCTCTTATCCTTACCTGCCTACAGATGTGTTTGTGTTGAATGTTAGTTGTGGGATGCGGTGGATGCCATCTGTTTTCATCGTGGAGGTTAAAAGAATTGAAATTTTTTAAAAAAAAAGTGCTATGAAAATGAAACCATAATCACCACTTTAAATACATTTAACTGCCATTGATTTTCTGGAAAAGAAACGTCAGGCTCTTTCTCACTTTGATCCGTGTCCGTTTTCCCCTGAAGATATCTGCTTTTGTTCTCTCAAAAAAGAAAAAGAAAAAAAAAGCCACAGCTATGAAACATTTGAAGGAAAACCAGATTTTCTGTGGCAGGCTTGAAACATCGGCAACGCCTATTACTCACTACATTACTTTTATCTGTAAGAAGTTGTCACAATAAAGTCAGTTAATAACATTAGCTCCAAGTAATTCGGCTACCTTTAGAGCTTCTTTATTTCTGTCATAAAATCAGTATTTTTATTTCTCTTATCAATTTAATATTTATATGTATTGTACTTATCAGCTCATAAATGAAATTATGTGGACAATATTAACATTCAGTAAAACATTAATATATCGCTGAAATAAAAATACATGAACAATAACAACAAAACCCAGGTAGTCCTTTTCTGGGAAATCTGTGGCTATTTGTTGAAGACAACCAAAATGAGCAAAGCCGTCTCTCCAAAGTTCCTAGTTTCACCTAGAGTTTATTCATTTGACAAGTCCATTAAGCCATACCCATCCCACCCCACAACTGTTGGAAAGGTGATATTTTCTAGGTCAGCAGAACAACTAGAGAGAAAGCATGACTTACTTTTCTTAGAGGGCCAAACCAGTAAGGCAGGTTTAGGTCTCTGGGCTCTGAGGTCCTCTCCGAGAAGCAGGGAGGTGAGTGGCACCAAAGCGTATCCTTCCAGTACCAACGGAACCCAACGTTCCTCACTGGAACTTTAAATAGGTGTGCATTCCTTAGTTAGCTGTGAAAATATGAGGATAAATGCTAGATAGTTTACAGTTTTATAAAAGACTTTCATCAGGGCAAACGGATTTGGGGTGCAGGTGCCGTCATCGTGCTCATCCATAATTCAAGGCAGCCTGGTACTTGGGCTCCGGAGATCCATAAAGGGGATGAGCTGTGAGAGTCGGCATCCCAGCCACCTGCATCGTGGCTGGACAGCAGGCCACTCTTTTTGAAAAACTGATGGCTGTGGCAGCAGTTTGCAGCTTCAGACAAGAGCTTCAGGTAATGCCCTCCATCAGAGCCTTGATGACAGACTGTGGAGAGCAAGTTTTTTCAGGTGCTCCGCTTGTTCGCTAATCCTTCAGTGCCGACTCCTCCAGCAAGTGAGAGGGACCCATCGGTAATGGACATCAGCCATTAAGCTCCTAATATTTGTCATCTATCAGGTTACCGCTTTGTTACTCCCAAGTGATGAATGGGTGCTGTTATGCCTTAAGAAAATAAAGCAATGCTATAAATATGCCCAGGCTTATAAGAGCAGCTGCTTTATTTCTTCCATGTCTTGAGAAATAAGTGCAAGGTATTCCTGAAATGCTTAGCTTTTCATTTCAAAATACAGAGTGCAATGTGCTTTACGTTAGTGCTTGTCGTTGCCTAGAGTCCACATCAAACAAATTACTCTCGCAGCGTCTATAGCGTGTTTCAGCAGGGCTTGATACAGCTCAGTTTATGCTTTGCACAGCATTCTGATTAAAACAGGCCAGCTTGCAAAGAACTGTTCCCCGGAACCCTTTTGCACTCACATGAACAGAAACCGAACAGGGTACAGAAGTGTTTTTGTTTTTTTTTTAAAGCATGACTCTTAAGTCATTCTCTGTATTAGTTATTCCTGTGATGCTGGACATGTTTCTGCCATCACAGGAAGAAGGAGTAATTTTAAGGACTTTTTGTTGTATTTCAGTAGGAAAGTTTTTAGAAAATGATACCATACTTAGTACTATTCTGTACACAACATTTACATCTGTTTTGTTGATGTGTTTTTACAGTTGCCTGGATTTGTATTAATTCTCTATCAGACTGACTTACATACACTCTCATCTTTTCCTAATTGAATGTCAATTTCTATGTTAATTTTTGAGCTTCTTTAAGAATATTGACCATGTTTCAAAGCATCCAAACACTGAGCTCTAGAGATAGTATACTTACGTATGCTTTAAAATCATTTGAATTTTCACACACTGTTTTGTTGTTCTTTTTTTTTAAAATGCCATTGCATTTAAAGGGGGAAGAAACAGTAACCACCGAGAGATGAGATGATAAATGAGTTCATCCAGGAATTGACTAAATGCTGACTCCTAACACCCACATGCTCTCCACAGCCTGCCGGGATACCCCAAGTAGAATATAGCTCCAGGGCCATTTCGCTATGATAATCAGCCCCTATTCTCTTCTCTCGTGTCTACTGCTCCTGCCAACTAGTCAAGTCTGCAAAAGCAGGTACCTCAAATTCTGTGGGAATATAGCTCCTTCAGGGCCTTGGATAAACGTGAAAGGGCACCATCCTGGTCCCTGCCCCAACGCTGTGACTTTCATTTTCAAGGCTCCCCAGTGTTGCTTCTGAAACCCTCAAGCAAGAAAAAACCTTATGGGGGACAGTGGCTGTGTGTGTGTTTATTTTACTACCGTGGGCTCATAATTGCCAAGAGGTGAGGGGCCTCCCTTCCATCAGCTCTAATTGCTGTGAGGGCCCGTGGGCTTCTACCAAGGCCTCCACATTGCCTGGAACATTTCCTGTAAGGAGGCTGGAACCTGGGGTGCAGGGCTATGTGCCAAAGTCTTTCAACATTTCCCAACCCCCATCTCTATGCCATTTTGCCCCCTCCATTTCTGGATGGTCCTTTAAACATCTTTTAAAGTTTTGGGAGCATCTAATACAATGAAGGGAGTAGCTCAGGACCTTGTCTGCAAGCAAGAACCTGAGTCCTCTCAGAACCCAGGAAGGGGGCTTTGGCCAAGAGATTGTTGTACAAGTTAAACAATTGGCGTATTTAAACTTGATCTGCAAATGATGTTCCTAGGAATTTAGACACAATTAGGAATGAGCTGGTGTGGATTTTGTGATAATCTTGATTCGTTTTCATATGGAGCTGTTTTAACAGGTTATTCTGAATGGATCTGACCTTACTGTGGAAATATTACAGAATATATTTTTATTATATAGCCTCTGAAGAAGATCATTACCTCTGACTTGTTCAGTGTTTAAGTTCAACATAAGCTTTTTTTTTAAAAAAAGAAAAAAGTCAGTGTATCACTTGTATTTGAGGAACAATATAGAGGCTTGAAACGTGCCAAACAGCAGGGAACAGGAATAACCTTTAACGAGAACCTATTCTGGTGCTGGGTCCTTTACACGCATTACATTATGCGTTCCTCAGGACAACCTTTGAGGTAGGTTTTATTGTCCCCATTTTATAGGTGGAAACCGAGGTGCCTGAGGTCCCACAGCTAATAAATAAACCCAGGCATGTCTGATTCCAGAGCCCATGCTTCTCTCCTGGTCACCAGGGTGCCTTCCAAGAATCAAACCCATGGTGAGGCTCTTAAATGACAAGAAATGTCACACCCATCCTACAGAAATCGTGTCCAGTGGTACCACGTTCTTTTTCTACCAAAATGCCTCGCTTATCAAAGCAAAATTTCGGTATCTGTTTCCAGCTGGTCTCGGGTCACATAATCTGCACATGAAGCACTTAATAAAGGCTTGTCAGAGCCCCCCCACCCCACCCCCGCCCAGCCTCACTGTAGTAGGACTGTGTAATATAAACATGTATTATAGAAATGAGAGCTCAGAAATCCATTTTCCACAGGTGTTACCTCTACATGTCTGTTCTTGCAACACTCATTATTCCTCTTGCTGGGTGACTCCACCTGGCCCCCAGAATGTGCTTTCATCAAAAGAATACTTCCCTGTAGGACCTAGCATGCAAAGACAACCACCCCAAGTAGAAGTTCAACTATTCAGGATCCTGACACACTGATCTACATAAACTGCTCTACAAATTGTAGTTTTAAACCATGTAACAATGGTATTCTAATAATAATTTGTATTCCAGGAGCTCCTTTTGGTAAGAAGCTCAAACAGCTTTACGGCTATTGTCTCAATAATCCCCTTGCCATCCCTCTTAGTTGGTGAAGGGAACCAGATACATTTTCCCTTCACACACAAGTTACTCGCCTGCTCACTGGCAGAGGGGTATGACACACTATTAAACGCATGTTAATGATCCAACAAACAGTGTTTGTTTGCTTGCAAGTAGGTCTGGCTTGGTTGTGTTTTGTTGTCAAATAGAAAACCCAAACAGAATCAGAATCCCATGGGGGGGCGGGGAAGCAAATCAGCGCAAGAGTACACGCTTCCTGTGCTCACTGTGTGAGTGTTCACTGTAATGCCAGGGAGGGATAGTCAGATCATGAGTGAATTTCACTGGTCTCTTCCTACACAGCGATTGACTGCATTCCGGAGATAGCTTTGTTCCTCATGATAGAAAAATGCACCAAGACTCTGTTTGACAATCTTTCCCTGACTACCACCCTTCCTGATAGCTCTTGAGGCCAAAGAATTATTGAAATAACCAATTAACCTATCTTTTCTTTTTTTTTATATGCAAGAAGTTTTATTTTTTATAAATGTCCCCCAAAGAAATGAAAACATGCAATCACACAAAACCTTGCCCTTGGGATGGGACAGATGGCTCAGAAGTTAAGAGGACTTGTTACTCTTGAAGAGCACTCAGGTCTGGTTTTCACACTGTAGCTCAAAACCATCCATAATTCCAGTTCCAGGTAATTCCACACCACCTTCTGACCTCCATGGGCACCAGGCACACATATAGTGCATATACATGCATGCGTGTCATAAACATAAAATAAATAAATCTAAAATTAAAAATTAAAACCCTTGTTTTTGGTGGTCGTAGCAGTGTTGTTGAAGATAACCAAAAGTTATAAGTAAATAAGAGTTCATTGAGAGATGAGTTGATAAACAGTTGTGATCATTATATAATTACAGTTAACCTATCTTTTCATATGGGAGTCAGTAATAGAGAGGATATAGGACATTTCATAGAGCATCTAAAAACATTTTGCTTAGCTGCTATCGTAATGTTGTATCTCTTATCCCCCTCTGTAACTACTTTATTTTTAAAGGCACACTGCCTATCGCGCGAGCGTGTGTGTGTGTGTGTGTGTGTGTGTGTGTGTGTGTGTGTGTGTGTGTGTGTGTGTGTGTGTATAGAACTCAGAAGTCTCTGACTCTCTCATCTGTAAACTGGAGATCCTGTTAGTGGACTCATGGAATACGGCGACAAGTACCTTGCACATGTTGAGTGCTCTGTATTTCCATCCCCACCTCTTCTTCCCTCTGATAGAGGGAAGCGGAACAGGAAGCCAAGTCACTCCAATCTGTTTCCTTGTACTCTTGCTTTTGCTACTAGACATCATCTGATTGGACTTAGCATATAACTTCATTTTGAAATAGAATAGCTATATTTCGTGCTGGGCACACCTGAGGTTACTGCTTCTAATGAAGTCTTTTATAGTCCATCTCTCTCACTGAAAACATTGTGGCTAAACTTTAAAATGTCAGAGCACTGGGCACAGTAATCCCAGCAGTTAGGAGACTAAGGCAAGAGGACCCTGAGTTCAAGGACAGCCTGGAAAAACAAGATGGTGAGGTCAGCTCTGGAAAGAACAGTGTGCTTCTTAGGAGAGCTCTGAGGTCTCTTACACTGAGCCAATGTCATAGAAGAATGAACTTACGAATTTCTGCAGCCTAGGGAGTAAAAATAAGCAGGGTCAACATTCTGGCAAGATGCAAATCATGTAGGCTGCATAGGTATATTTATTTCTATCAGAAACTATTAAACTTCTTGCTTAACAAGCCTGATTTAAAACACTATTTCTTGTGCTAGCAGTCAGTGGAGTTCAAATGTGTCTACGGAATTCGGTGCTCAAAAA